GAAGAAATGCTTACAATCACTAGCCATTAGAGAGATGCAAATCAAAACAACAAGATACCATCTTGCTCCAGCACTAGTAGCAAAGTTCAACAACAGAGAAAACAACAAATGCTGGCGAGGATGCAGAGATTGAGACTACTCATACACTGCTGGTGGGACTGTAAAATGGTACAACCACTGTGGAAAGGAGTATGGCGATTCCTTAAAAAGCTGGAATTAGAATTACCATTTGACCTAGCCATTCCATTACTAGGTATTTATCCTAAAGAAGTGAGAGCCATGATGAGAACAGACATATGCACACCCATGTTCACTGCAGCAGTATTTACAATAGCCAAATGATGGAAACAATCTAGGTGTCCATCAACTGAGGAATGGATAACCAAACTATGGTACATGCACACAATGGAATACTATGCAACCCTAAAGAATAACCTAGAATCTGCAAAACACCTCATAACATGGATGAACTTGGAGGCCATTATGCTGAGTGAAATAAGTCAATAACAGAAGGACAAATATTGCATTAGTCTGTTACTGTAAAAGTCAAGGAAAGGTTTATCTATGGAAGGAAATTTTCTTTTGTTGGTTACCAGGGGTGGGAGGGGAAGAGAGGGAACACTTTTAGATAAGTAGAGATAAGTAGTGATTTGGGTGAAGAGAAGGGCAATGTACCAAATGTGAGTGATCAACATGGTGGCACTGAGGAAGAGAAAGACATAGAGAGGTACATGGGAAGTAAAGACAACAAAGATGAACCCTTTTGTACATACAATACTGCGTTGTCAGTGAAGCCAAACACGGGTATACGGGTGGATAGATGGGTGGACAGGCTGAACTAGTAGGTATATCTTTGAAACAGGGAGTGTACCCAAGACCAGGTACAGGGTTGGCAGACAGTAGTCATATAAGTTTATTTGTATGATCTGAATTCCCAGGTGTATAGTAGAGCTGAAAAGGTGCAAGGCTGTAGTCACTTCTTGGTCACAGCCAGCTACCCAGAGTGACCAACTAGTTGAACCTGTGAGCTCGGGACCAGAGTTGCAGGGGACATCAAGCTCAATTGGCATAACATACTACACAAAACATTGTTCCACCTTCTACTTTGGTGAGTAACAACTGGGATCTTAAAAGCTTGCAAGTGGCCATCTAGATGCAATGATGGGTCTCTCCTCATCCAGAGCAAAGAAGAATGAAGAAAACCAAAGGCACATGGAAACAGTTAGTCCAAGTGATTGGTATACCATGTGATCCTCAGCCTATACGGCTATGAGACCACAAGAACTAGATAGTACCTAGCTACCACTATCAACCACTCAGAGGGGTATCTCTGTAGGAGATCCTGGATAGAGTGGGAGAAAAATGTGGAAAAATGCTCAAGATAATTAAAAAAGGAACCAGGTTTGCCGCTCTGATAAAGCCTGGTAAAACCTGCAACTATGGCCCCTAGCTGCCCTTCAGGTCTGGAATAGAACCCACTCCTGTGGCTTCCAGCCAAACAAAAGACAGGAATATGAGCTGAACACTTATTTCAGGTAGATACACTCCTCGGAGAGATCAATCATGGTAGAATACAAGGGCTGTGTATGAACAGGGAAATAGCTCAGGGGGCAGAAGTACATGGGAGGGAAGGACACAGGGAAGAGGTAACTATGGGCAGGAAGTGGGAAGAGAGCTGTTGCACTGTGGGAAATTCCAGTCAATATCATCAGACAAAGTGTATGTGAACTGCTGTATGAAAAATGAATTTGCTCTGTAAACTTTCATGCAAATCACAATTTAAAAAAAAAAAAGAGCAGGATAACACAAAACAGGTTAAGTATTTGAAGTTGGAGGGGTGAAAAGGATGCTTCTGCCCAATTCATCAGGAGAGTATGACTATAGTAGTCGTCAGATACCAGGACCAAGTGTGTGGGTTACATGTAGATCCTGGGCTGAGCCCCGACTGTGTGGCCAGGTGGCCTTTCTCTTTCCTCTCACACGGTCACTTGTCTGTGGGGCCTTACTTGCATGGTAACAGGAGGGCTGTGTGTCTTTCCCCACCTGCCTGTCTATCTGGGCTGGTCTGAGCACTGAGGGCTGCCCAGGTGGTAAGCTGATGAGTGGGCTATGCTCCAATCCACACTTACAAACTCTGCTCTGCTCCCCTGCTGTCCTCATGAGTCTAGCTGGGCCCTGAGAGGAATCCTGCCCTACACTGAGGACGAAGGACCCAAAAGGACCCATGCCAGCATGAATATGTGTTCAGAAGAACATATACTCACCAATTTTTTGTCCATTTTTGCTTTGATATCCCTGGCGAGTGTGAAGAAGGCCTGTGGAGAAAACAGGGTATTAAGTCCCTGGGTGGTGCAAATGGTGAATATGCTCAGCTGCTAACTGAAAGGCTGCAGGTTCAAGTCCACCCAGAAGTGCCTCGGAAGAAAGGCCTGGCAATCAATTTCTGAAAAAATCATCAAAAACATAAAAAAACCAAGCCCACTGCCATCAAGTAGATTCTGATTCACAGAAATCCTACGAGATAGAATAGAACTGTGCTATAAGGTTTCCAAGGTTGTAAATCTTTATGGAAGCACACTGTCCCATCATTCTCCCACACAGTGGCTTATGGATTTGAACCACTGACCTTCTGGTTAGCAACCAAATGCCTTAACCACTATAACCACCAGAAAAATTAGTCATTGAAAACCCTATGGAGTGCAGTTCTACTCTGACACACAAGGGGCTGCCATGAGTCAGGGTGAACTTGAAGGTGGCTGATTCATGCAACTCACCAAAGAGGAAACTGAGGCTTACAGGAGGCCAAGTCATTTGTCCAAGGGACGCTGTGGTTGACTGACACAAGAAGACCCAGCCCTGTGCCTTAAGGCCCATGCTGTCTGTACACTCTGGCCCCAGATGGTGGTCACAGGCAGAGACGTCCTTGTCTGGGGGGGGTTAAGGTGCTAGAGATCCCTAGGCAGTGCCAGCTGTATTTGGGGAATCATAAAGGGCTGAAAGGGAGCTCTGGTAGCATAGTGCCTAAGGCACTTGACTGCTAACCAGATGGGTGGCGGTTCAAACCCACCAGCCACTCCTCGGAAGGAAGATGGGGCAATCTACTTCTGTAGTGATACTGCCTCGGAAACCCAAGGGGGGGTCACTATGAGTTGGGTCCGACATGACGGCACATAACAACAACAACAACAAAGGGCTGAGATGGGGAGAGATTCACCTTCTGAGCACAGCAAGAAGCCTGGCTGCCACTGCTCTCAGCTCCATGACTACTACATCCTGCCTTCCCTCATTCACTCTCTGTTAAGTGTCTGTTAACCCTGCCTAGTGAGCTGACCTGCCTGGGAGGCGGATAAACTGATGAATCAGATTAGGGTTTGCGCGTGAGGGATGCTTGGCTGGTAGGAGGCAGAACCGCAATAAATTACCACGTGACATGCAATGTTCTGCCATGGAGGCTGGTTCAGGGTGCTGGGGATGCCTTAGGTGGTGGGTCTGAGGATCTGGGAATAGAGGAAACTTCTAGGTGGTGGGCATTTAGGCTGGGCCCTGATGGCTAAAGAGTTTGCCAGGCCAAGGCGAGTGGGAGGCAGGGAGAAAATATACAGAGGGGACACAGGGAGGATGGGGGCAGAGTGGAGCAGGCAGCCTGGGAATGGCAAGAGGTAGACCAGATGAGCTGCAAGGACAGGAGGGTGGCTGGGTCCCAACTTGCTGCTTGGGACTGTGGGCCTGTTGCGGTAGCTCCATGGTGGCATCCCTAGAGTCTGAGCTAGGCCTGGGCACCCAGTCAGCTAGGCTGCTGCCCAAGGGCCCGACCCAGGGCCAGTGCCTGGTGTCAGAAACATGGGTGATTTCCATGGAGTTGGACCAGGGCCTGGCATGCAGGTGCTGTTTAGGATGTGCCTCTGAGGGGGCCGCCTGGCAGCCCCAAGTCTAAGGGCGGCTCCTGTGGCTGGGCAGAGCAGACAGTGGGACTTACATTCTCCACATTGATGTTAGCCTTGGCGCTGGTCTCCATGAACTTGATCCCATAGTCGAGAGCCAGCTGTGGGGGGAGGACAAACATTCACGTGACCCACCAGGCCCTGCTCCAGGGAAACACGAGCCCTGCGCAGGACTAGTGGCGGGGCAGGTGGACGACGGCCCTGGAGGCTGCTCCCTCGATGGCCCAGCAGCGCCAAGTGCAGTGCTCAGACTGGAGAGACAGCGGACGCTGAGTGTGCAGAGGGAGGGAGGGAGGGAGGTCCTGGGGCTGTGGGGGATCCAGAGGCTGGTCAGAGGCTCCCAGGGTACACGCTCTTGCCTGCAGCCTGGCTGGGTGCAAGCATCCGACCCTCCCTCCACGTGGCATATGCACAGGTGGGTGACCAACTCGCCTGTACCCCAGGAATGAGAATGAGAGGTCCTCCACCAAAGCCAGCCAGGGGAGCCCCTAAGCAGGGGCCTGCCGTGCTACACCCACCAGGCCGCCAGGCCCACCTTCTCTCCTCGTTCCTTGGAGACCTGTCTTTTATCGTTCACGTCACACTTGTTCCCAAGGATCATCTTTTCGACGTCGGCAGAAGCATGCTGTGAGAGGAGGGGAGGGCACACAGTTGGGTGAGGGGGTAGCCTGGGCTGCAGGCAAGTGTTTGGGCCAACTCAGCCCACCCAGAACCAGAGCAAGTGAGTGGGATGGCATACCACAGTCTCTTAAAGATAAGCTGGAGCTCACAGGTCCCAGCCTCACTGCTGGAGTCAGGGCCCTACCACCCCACTTGGCACACATGTACTAGAACACTCTCTGCTGTTGGAAATGTCTGCTCCATGGACTGCCAGCCAGGCTCCCATGCTGCCCCTGGGCTCCAGACAGGACCTGGCTCATGGGGAGACTTCATGAGGATGATTCCGTCCCCCACCTGCCTCCTTGGCCCCTCTGCCCAGGGCACCTTCTCCCACTGCCCTGGCTCTCTCTGGGCTCTGAAGATGGGCTGGGCCTGGGCAGAAGCAGTTCCTAGCTGCACCACCCCTTGGTGTACAGCCTTCCGAGTTCTCCCCTCACTCTAGGACACATACTCCTCCATTAAACATGCCTGGTCCCTCTTGAGTGGTCCACACTTACTAGAGGGCCAGGACACAGGTGGGCACCTTCTCACTCAGCCAACTGTTCCCTGCCTTCTGCTCCTGCCTGATCTCCCATTGCCCAGAGGACCAGCAATGGGTGGTCTCTCCTCACCCTACTCCCAGAGACGCCCAGGACAAGGGCTCAGCTACACCCACAAGCAATCTGGAGGCTGGCTGAGTGGTTGGAGTGCTGGGTGGCAGTCATGTGATCTTTGTCATGGCACTGTGGGTGAGGAATGTTCTCTGGCTGCCTTGGACCCGAAGCTCCCCTGAGCTGGTTAGTCACCAATGCAATGAGCTGTGCCTGGAAAGGCCTGCCCAGTTAGGGCACGATCTTGGGGTACAGGAACGGGAGGCAGGCTTGGCCACTTCCTTTTCTCCCCAGAGTTCAAGGTCTTCTTTCTCCAACTAGCTGCTGGTTGGAGGAGCTCACACCTGTCTTGCTGTGGTTCAAAGTACAAACTGATATGCCTTTGTGCCACACCCACCCAATACAAGGGTCAAGATGGTTCTAGAATTTTCCCTCTCTACAAAGTACCAAATGCCCATGGTGACCTCAAGCTTGTTTAGCCCTTCCCTCTCAATTGCAAGACTGGTCAAATGGTGTGGATGTGGGCTCTCAGAGGCAATGGGGCAGTCCCAGACGCAAAACCACTGCCCAGGCAAGGCTGAGCTAGCCTTTAGCCTTGGGGCCAACCTTGGCTCCCTGGCTGTGGGGCTCCTGGTATGTGACCACTTAGTGGCTCTTTTGTAGGGGCTCAGCACAGGACAAGTGATAGGTTCTGGTGCTCACTGAGAGGACCAGCTGGCCTCACCTCCTCAATGTTCCGGATCCAGTTCCGGATGTTGTCGAAAGATTTCTCATTGGTGATGTCGTATACCAGCATGATGCCCTGGGATGGGGGGGGGGGCGACATGACAGAAATGTTTTGAGCAATGAGCCCTCTGAGAGTCCACAAGCCCTCCCCATTATGAGGTGGGCAGGGGTCCAGAAAGACCCCTTCCCAACCAACATGTGGTCCCTGCCCGTCCCCCAGTGCCTTGAAGTTCCACTCCCTCCATGGCCCCACCTTGCTCAGGGACTCCAGCCTAGCCCAGTTTGTTCCGTGTGCCACACAGGCCTGAGGTGACCCTACCACCATAGACCAGGCCCTGGCACAGCCCCTCACCACAGGCAGGATGATTTGGAACCCGCCTCAGTGTGTACCCGCCTGGCCCAAACAGACCGTTCCCAGCTGTGCTCAACATCACTATGCTCCCCTCATTCACCCCCTGCCCAGCCAAGTTCCTTCCCAGGCTCTGGGCCTCCAGCACCATGCCTTATCCATCCTTTATTCACTGGGCACCCACCACATACAGCAGGCACTTCACTCACCCTTATAAGCCCTGGCTCAGTGGTCCCACCAGCCCCCTCTGCAGACAATGGACCTAAATATCGGAGTATTTAGGCTCTGTCCATGAGCATGTGGGGGGAACAAGTGGCACAAATGAAGGTCCCCAAAACCAGTGTGCCTTCCAGCAGCCCCACTAGCAGAGGCCAGCACCAAGGCCCAGAGGGTCCCTAACAGATATATGGGTACCAGGGTGCTGGTTCAGAGGTTCCATAGAGCCAGCCTGTGGGGAGGGGACATCGGTGTGCCTTCTGTGGGTAGAGACTATGCTGGGATGGGGGGCCAGCACACATTGCCCCTCCTGTCCTGAGGACAACTGCAAGAAAAGGCAGACAACCCCATCTCACACCAAGGGAACCCGAGGTATAGACTAGAGAGACATGACCTTTAAGACTGGACTCTGAAAAGCGATGCCCTGGCTTCTGGAAGTCCCCTGAGGACCCACTAAACCCACGCACCTTGCACTGGCCACGTACTGCCCGTACACTAGCCTCTCACAATGTACTTGTGGGTGTGTACCTTCACAGGTCAGTCCTCATGTGGGAGCCATCGGGGCCCTCTGCAGTGAAGCCCTAGGCCGCAGACCCTTCTGGCCAGCCCACACCACAGCAGGGCTACAGCCTGCTCCCCTGCACAGGCCTACACTCACTGTTCTTCCACCCCTCACCTGCTCTGGGGCCCTGCCCTGTGTCTAGGCCTCAGGGGGCACTACCTACCCTGATGTAAGCTATGACATCTCACAGACTGTGTGTGTTCACAGAGCACAGGGGACACTGTGTGGATAACTATGGGCAAGTGTGGGACAGAACCTCCCAGGTGGGGCAGGACAGACTACTTGATTGCAAACTCCCCGTGAACACTGGCCTCTTGAGTCTGGTACAGCCCTAGCAAGGCCAGGCCTCCATAAATGCAGTTTGGGGTCTCATTCAGGGAAGCACAATAGAGACACTGATAGAGAGGCTTGGAGGAAAACTGTAGTGGCCCATGGGATTCACTGTGCTTGAGACAAGGTCACAGGCGAGCCAGTGCAAGGGGGAGATACTGACAAGACTCAGTCAAGATGTCACTGGAGTATCTGCCCCGTAGCTGCCCTCCTCCCACCAGGGAGCAAGAGATACAGAGGGCCACTAGGTCCTCCTGCCCTGGGACCAGCCAGGTATTCCTGCCACTACTTGCTTCCAAGACTCTAAATGCTCTGACTTTTACTTATTGGGTGCAGGAGGATCACCTGGGAATAAGGGGGCAGTGGCTTGAGTGGGGATCCCTGGATGATGCAAATGGTTAATGTGCTCAGCTGCTGACTGAAAGGCTGGAAATTCGAGTCTACCCAGAGCTTGGAAACAATGTCTGGTCATCGGCTTCTGAAAGAGGAGTCCCTGCAAACCCTGTGGAACAGTTCTACTCTGATACACAGGGCTGCCATGGTCAGATGGAGAAGGAGGAAACACTTCGTCACCCTAGTCTGCACCCCTTGAGACTACTCTCAGTGCTTCAACCGATTATTTTCTGGCCGTACCCGCACACAGCTCCCATGTCTGTCCATAGCTACCCTTCTGGAAAAGATGTCTCATGCTTCCCACCATCTGGGATTTTGGGAAGTAGGTGTAGTTCCGAGAATGATGCCAGAATGTTCTCTACCTGCGCCGTCCCACTGCCACCAAGGCCACAAGTGGGTCCTGAAAATTTAGAATGTGACTGGGCTAACTGGAACCGGATTTTTAATTTATTTAAATACAAACAGCCACATGTGACTAGGGCTTCCGTACAGGTTAGCGCAGACGTCAGAGGATTAAAAGGGGCAGTGGTGATGCAGGGGTGGAATTCCTGCCTCCCATTCAGGAGACCTGGGTTTGATTCCTGGCCAGTGCACCACGTGTGCAGCCACCACCTGTCAGTGGAGGTTCGCGTGTTGCTATGATGCTGAACAGGCTTCAGTGGAGCTCCTAGACTAAGATGGACTAGGAAGAAAGGCCTGGTGATTTACTTTTGAAAATCAGGCACTGAGAAAACCCTACGGATCACAACAGTCCAGTCTGCGGCCCACTATGGGGACGGCACAGGGCCGAGCAGCATTTCATCCTGCTGTGCACAGGGTTGCCACGAGTCGGGGTTGACTCAGTGGCCGACTTGGTGGCAGTTAATGAGGACCAAAAGCCACAACAATCGTGGTGCTGCACAGGGTCCTAAAGGTGGTTCTGTCCAGACTCAGTCAGAGCCACTGGAGAGGGAGGGGGAGGACATGGGTGCTAGGGCCAGCTGGATATCTTTCACAAACTGGCCATCTTTCACTCTCTGGGTATACTTGAGCCTTATGTTCCTTGTCTGTAAAATGGGGGTAGTGGTTTATAGGCAAGATACAATGAGAGAAGGTAAGTAGAGACCTGGGCCCAGCACCTGGTACAGGGCTCAGTAACAGGGCCGGGTGGACATGTCAGCCCAGAGAGGGACACACCCTCCTGGGGCCACACAGCTCTGCTCAGATCCCAAAACCCCCACCTGTTCTCCCAGAGCACAGAGGATTTTAATGAAGTGTGCTGAGGTTCCATTTTGTCTCACACACAGTAGAGAGAGGAAAAAAAAAAAAACCTCACTGCCATGGAGCTGATTCCGACTCTGAGCAACGCCTTATGGGTTTCTGAGATGGTAAATCTTTTAAGGAAGTAGACTGCCCAGTCTTCTGTGGAGTGGCTGGTGGGTTCAAATCACCAACCTTCTGGTTAGCAGTCACATGCTCTAGGCACTATGCCACCAGAGCTCCTTTTCACGCACAGTGGAGGACACTCCAAATACTTAGTGCCCTGCTCAATTTTGCCATCCCTGCCCCCTACCTAACACACTGGCTATGAGGCATAAGGCAGTAACTAACCACAGTGTGTCTTCACTATGCTCACAGTCTAAAGGGAACAAGGATCAAGATGTAATCAAGTCATGGGGTTGTCATGGAAATGGTGGGCTCCCCAGACAGCTAGATAAATGACCATTTCACCCATGGTTGCCAGGGACAGTCTTCTGTTGTTTGTTTTCTGAATAAGGAGATGGAGCTGCCAGACCCACACGTTCCCAACTCATCCACCAGTCTAGTCTAGGCCTGGCCCAGAGAAGGGGCCTGATGAATATTTGAGGGTTGAGCAAATGCATCTTCCTCCCACACGTCACACACTGTGGGCCCAGGCAATCAACCTAACGCCAACTACCCTGGGGCAAGTTGGCTCCTGGAGGATCTCAAGGTGCTGGTAGCAGTTCCATCCTGGCTGACGCGGGCCACACAAATGCTCCTAAGTGTTGGGGCATGTTGACTGTCTCTGATTCCATCCACCTCACCTGGAAGAACTGGGTTCCTGTCCCAGCCCTCTTGGCCCCAATTCCCAAAAAATGATGTTCCTGCTTCACCTACACCACGCATAATGTATGTGCAGCCAGTGGGGATACGTAGAGGGGGGCGGAGGTGGTGCACACGAGCCTCTTGTTTGGAACCTAGCTCCACTTCCCCACCAGCCAAAGCGTACACTCCCCAGAAACACCAAGACTTCACTAAGGAAGACAGGACTGATCACTCTGACTTAAACACCCCATCCATACCATTGCGCCCCGGTAATAGGCTGTGGTGATCGTCCGGAACCGCTCCTGGCCAGCTGTGTCCCTGAATGGAGAAGGGATGTTAGAGCAGGAATGAGGAACCTTCACCCAGCTCTCATGGGCTGTTGGGAATCGCCCTCCTGCTGCAAGGCAGGCCCTTCATAGGCCCTGGTTTAGAATGAAGGTTAAGGATGTGCTGATGTCACCAAGCTTGGGGGTGGGGTGGTAAGGCCACTGCTCCAACTCTGGCCCATGGCTTTCTCCTCTTTGCTTCCTGGGCTCCTCCCCAGAGTTTCTGAGTCACAGAAAAGTCAAAGTTGGACATTGCTATGGGTTGAACTGTGTCTCCCCGCAAAAAATGTTCCAAGTCCTCACCCCAGTACTTGTGAACGTGACTTTGGAGATAGGGTCTTTGCAGATGTTAATTGTTTAGGTTCCCATGAGGTCATCCTCGATCTAATGACTGCTGTCCACATTACAAGAGGAAAAGAACACAGAGAGGTACAGAGAAGAAAGCTGTGTAGAGACGGAGGCAGAGATTGGAGTGATGCAGCCACTGAGACAGGGAAGGATCTTCCCCCAGAACCTCTGGGGGGAGCGTGCCCCACTGACACCTTAATTGCAGACTTCTGGCTCCCAGACTAGGAGAGAATAAATCTGTTGTTTTGTGGCCCTGCTTGCGGTACTTTGTCATGGCAGCCACAGGACACTCAGACAGATGTTACTTGTGAAAATCCAGGGCCACATGTGTGCAAAGAGCTGGGAATGGACACGGGGATAGAACCCTTGTGACTTGGGTGGCTGGCTGAGCTCAGAACTGATGGCTTAGGCAGCATTTTCACATACCCTACCTTGGTTCAGGTGAGGGGAAGGCCCTTCCTTACCTGTACAATGGGGGCACAAGGTGAAGACAGGACTGGGCCTCATTCAGGTCTGGGCATGTGAAGTATTCAGTGGTTTATTTAAAGGTGACCAGGTGGCATAGTGCCTAGGCATCTGATCGCAAACCACAACACAAGGCTAGCGGTTCAAACCCACCAACCCACTCCTGGGAAGGAAGATTGGGCAATCTGCTTCTGTAGAATTACTGTCTCGGAAACCCAAAGAGGGGTTGCTGTGAGTCGAAATGACTCAATGGCAGTGAGTCTCGGTTTTTTTTTTTTTTTTGAATGACTAACGGCGGAGCCAGGGCAAGAGCCGACGTCTCGGTCTCAGGATCCAGGGCTCATCCCATGCCCCCATGTGCCCGTGTGCATGGCCTACACAGAAGAGTCCTGCCTATGGGGTCGCCTGATGCTGGGACACTATTACCACATGACGAGGTGAGGCCAGAAATGACATTCAGGGTATTGTGCTCCTGCCTGCCAGCCCTCAGAGCTCAGACGGCACCATGAGCACTACAATGCTGAGGGCTTGACCACAGTGGGAAGGCTGGGGACCAAACTGTCCCTGAGAACACGCTGTCAATCTGAACCTCTACGTCTGTGGGCATAATCCCATTGGAGAACGTGTTGTATTTGTTAATGAGATTCGTGCAGGTGTAACCAAAACTAACCAAACTCACTCCCATCGAGTCGATTCCAACTCATAGTGACCCTCCTTTGGTTTATTTGAGGTATAAAAGAGACTAAACAAGCAAGCAAAAGCAGCAGAGGCGACGGAAGAGAGATGCCATGCCACATGGAGATGAGCTAGTAGCAGAAGCTCAAAGAGATGAGGACCCTCCTCCAGAGCTGACAGAGAGAAAGCCTTCCTCTTGAGCTGGCATTCTGAACTCAGACGTCTAGCTTTCTAAACTAGGAGACAATGAATCTGTTTGTTAAAGCCATCCACCTGGAGTATTTCTGTTCTAGCAGCACTATATAACCAAGATAAGGAGGAAGCTAGGAGGGAATGAAAGTATGATCAACACAGTGTCCCTTTGGACCTGGGCACAAAGGCTGCTAGGAAGCCAGGATGTTAGGAAGCAGAGGAACATCCACAGCTACTAACGTCCACGTTGGTGAGAAACCAACTGACTGTCCAGGTTGGGGGATGGACAAGGCTTTAGACCCTGTCCAGATCTGTGATCTGAGATGTTTCAGAGGTAAACATCACCAGGAGTCGAGGGGACAGTGCTCTGAGACTTATGGGCATTCCATCCCCAGCTCAGGTGCCTGCCTGGCAAGCAGAGACCAGCCCACATTCCCACCTATCACTTCTTGTCATGTTGCTTAGTGTGGGGCGCTGGGCAGGATAGGTAGATTCAGGGCCTGACTCCCCTACGTTTGAAAATCTGGAATCGGTCTATCCAATACAGGGGGCAACAGACCAGAGCCAGCACCAGTAAAGGGGACTTGGAGACCTATGCCTTCCTTCATGTTATTAGGGCCCATTGGGGAAGCTTTCCCCAAGCTCTAAGAATGGAAATGGGTTTCAGACTAGGCCTGGCCACAACTCAAATTTCAGTTCTGGAATTACAGGTTGGCATAGGAAGCAAGACCTGGGCTTCCCCAGGAGAGCAAAGAGCGTATACATCAAACATCCCTCAGTTGAGCTGATGTGGTCACAAGGGAACTCCTGGGCCGGGACCTGTCATGGGTTTAATTGCCCCAAACATATGTGCTGAAGTTCTCTGTGTCTACTATGACCCTGTTTAGAAGCCCCTGGTGCAAATGGTTAAGCACTCAGCTGCTAATTAAAATGTTGGTGTTCAAGTCCACCCAGAGGTACCTTGGAAGAAAGGCCTGGCAATCCACTTTTGAAAAATCAAACCCTGAAAACCCTAATGAGGCACAGTTATATTTTGGCACACATGAGGTTGCCATTAGTGACTCCACTCAAGGGAAACTGGTTTTTAAAACAGGCATTTTTTCTTTTGTTAATGAGGCCATAACAGTGTAGGGTGGGTTGTAAACCTAACCACTTCTGAGTGAAAAAAAAAACCAAACTCACCGCCATTGAGTCGAATCCAACTCATAATGACACCTCCTCAGGTTTCTGAGGCAGTATCACTACAGAAGTAGATTGCCCAACCATCCTTCTGAGTGGCTGGTAGGTTTGAACCGCCACCCTTCTGGTTAACAGTCATATGCCTTAGGCACTATGTCACCAGAGCTCCTTAATCACTTCTGAGTGGTGTCTTATAAATAGAGCAGAACAGACACCGGTGCACACAGGGGAAGACAGACTGTCTACAAGTCAGAGAATGGCAAGGAATGCCAGGCTGCAACTAGAAGCTGAAAGAGACAAAAAGGAAATTTCGGCACCCTGAACTTGGGCTTCTAGTCCCCAGAACTGTGAGGAAATAAATTTGTTATTTAAAGCTACCCACTTGTGGTATCTGTGTCACAGCATCCCCAAGAAACTAAGACAGGCTGCTCTCCTACCCTGCAGTCTCCAGGAGTACCTCTGCCTGGCATGGGGGGCTCATCCCTCAGGTCCAATGAGAATAAGTAGCACTACGGTCCTGGCCCACAGAGAAGCCAGGCTTTGCCCAGAATGGAGCACTTAGCTAACCCGGATGGGCAGTTATATTCTCAGAAGGCACCAATCCAGAATCCAGGCCCCAGAGGCCAGCAGAGCACAGCTCCCCGGGCTGGGTGTGAGTAACGAGGAGCTTCTGAAGATGAAGGCTATGGTCCCAGTGGTGGGGGACAACACAGGGGCTTCTGGTTTGAAATATCTGCCAGGCAAAGGGGCCGATAAAGAACCGTGTATCTTACCATATCTGCAGTTTGATTCTCTTGCCATCGAGCTCTATGGTTCTAATTTTAAAGTCAATTCCTGAAAGAAAAGGAAAAAGGTCCATCATTGTCAGCCACTTCCCAAGCTGTGTCAGAGAGAACACTGCAGACATGGGCAGGTTAACAGCCCCCCTGGATTCCGGAGCTCCCTCAGGGGAGGGGGTACTGTCCACCTAGGCAGGTGACAGTCTCCAGAGTGCCTGTTGCAGACACCAGCCAGGCACTGGACCTGCAGACTGAGAAATCCACACGGGTCTGGAGGCATCTGGAGAGGGGACCCTGAGGCTCAGAGGACCCACAGACATTGCCCACAGCAGTGCCTGCAAGTGGCAGGGTCAGTGGCTAAACACTGGTAGCCCAGAATTCCAAAGCATGGCTTTCTGCCCTCACTGTGGCCCCAGAGCCCACCTCCAAGCCCCAGGTGGCCATATGTAGAGCAGGCTTCAGCAACAGCCAGTGTGCAAGCCCTGTGCAGGCCAGAGCCTGTTTCTCCCCTGCCCTCCCAGGTGTTCAGGTGCCTCCTCTCCAGTCTCAGCCTTTATACATGCTATTCCTTGTCTTTGTGGCCCCATGCCCATCAGAGTGCAGATTTCTTCTCCAAAGCCCTGCTCAGACCTCAGCCCCGGGGAAAACTCCCTGATCCCACCCTCCTTTTACCCCAGACACCAGGTTGAAACCCCTTTTGCCAGCATGGTCTTGACAGCTTGACAGCCTCTGGATGCTTCAGTGTCCCTCTAACATCCCCTTGGCTTGCTCCCCATTCCACGCTGAGACCTTCAAAACTACAAAGCTAATCCAGTATAAACCTAACCTCCTCTACAAACCTTTCAGAGCACCCATCACTGGATGGAGAGATATCTGCATAACAGGCTATTATTAGGTGGGATATACAATGTGTATCTGCACAACGGGCTATTATTAGGTGTCAAAAAGGAATGAAACACTGGTACATGCCATGATGCTCAGTGAGAGAAGCCAGGCACCAAAGGCCAGAGGGTCTGATTCCATTGATATGGAACATCTAGAAGAGGCAAATCCATAGAGACAAAGTAGATTCCTGGTTACCTAGGGATTGGACGGGGATAGGGAGTGACTGCTAATGGGTACAAGGATTCCTTCTGGGGTGATGAGAATGATCTGGAATTAGATAGATGTGGGTAGCTACACAACATGGTGAATGGACTGAAAGCCACCGAACTGTGCACTTAAATATGGTGAATTGAGTGGTATGTGAATCATGTATCAATGAAACTATTAAGAAAACAAAAATAGACATCTTCTGATGCCCCCCCCCCCAGTAAAATGCAAACTGGTACCCTGTCTATACTGGTGGCCTCTCTGCCCCCAGTGCCTCCCACTCCTGGGCCCCTGGCTCCTTCCTGAACATTCCATGATCCCTCCTGCTTGAGGGCTTTTCCACTGGCTCTTCCTTCTCCTGGAATGTTCTTTCCTTCCATACCCACCTGGCTCCCCCTCCTTCACTGAGGTTCCTGTTGAACAGTGCGTCTGGGGAGCCTTCCCTGACCAGCCTCATTCTCTATCACTTACCCTGCTTTTAATGTCCCTGAGCAGTATAAATGGTTTGTGCTCAGCTGCTTATGGAAAGGTTGGCAGTTTGAAACCACCCAGTGGCACCATGGGATAAAGGCCTGGAGATCTGCTTCTGAAAGGTCACAGCCTTGAAAACCTTACAATACAGAGCAGTTCTACTGTGTAACACACATGGTCTCTCTCTTTTTTTTTTTTAATTGTGACTTGGGTGAAAGTCTACAGAGCAAATTCACTTTCCATACAGCAGCTCACATAGTTTGTCTCTGACATTGACTATAATTTCCCACAATGCAACAGCTCCTCTCCCACTTCCTCCCCATAGTTACCTCTTCCCTGTGTCCTTCTCTCCATGCGCTTCTGCCCTGTGAATTGTCTCCCTGTACATACATAGCCTTTCTATTCTCTCATGATTGTTCTCTCCAAGGAGTGTATCTACCTAGTGTAAATGTTCACCCCATATGCCTGTTTTTTATTTGGCTGGAAGCCACGGGAGTGGGTTCAATTCCAGACCTGAAAGGCAGCTAGGGGCCATAGTCTCAGTCCATCAGGCTCTATCAGACCAACAAACCTAGTCCTTTTTTTTTTTTTTAAAAAAAAAAAAAAGATTTTAAGTTGTATTCCACATTATTCTCCCACTCTATCCAGGATCCCCTACACAGATCTCCCTGAGGGGTTGACAGTGGTAGCCAGGCACTATCTAGTTCTTCTGGTCTCACAGTCACATAGGCTGAGGATCGCATAGTGTACCAGTCGCTTGGACTAATTGCTCCCATGCATCTTTGGTTTTCTTCAATCTTCTTTGCTTTGGATGAGGAGAGACCCATCGTTGCATCTAGATGGCTCCTTGCAAGCTTTTAAGACCCTAGTCACTACACACCAAAGAAGAATGTGGAACAATGTTTTGTGTAGTATGTTATGCCAACTGAGCTTGATGTCCCCTGTGACTATGGTCCCAAGACCACAGGTCCAACTACTTGCTCCCTCTGGGTAGCTGGCTGTGGCCAAGAAATGACTACAACCTTGTCCACATGGGGTCTTTTATGAGTTGGAATTGACTCGACAGCCACTGGTAACCATTCTTTTGTTTCTCACAGCACTTGTAACTCCCTGGTGTATTCTGCTTGCTCCGTGAAGCTAGGAGAGGGACTCTTCATCTGCATGACTTATGGTATGGAAATGGCCAAGTCTAGCCACTGCTCCCAGGGTTTGTCCTAAACCTTCACTAAAAAAAGCGAGGCCTTTCTTGATCTTCTAAACTCCACAACGGGGATGTAATTCTGTCCTTGTCCTCAGGGGCTATCCTGGGGACCAAGAGGAAGATCAGCCTGTATGCTAACTGTCCCCACAGGACATGTTCTCATAGCGCAAAGACTCGACATATCCTGATCACTGCTGTGCCTCCATGACTAAACTGAGTAGAAGAAGGTCCTAGGGAGAAGAAGGTCCTTGGGTGGCTCAGGTGGTTTGTGCTTGACAGCTAACCTAAAGGTTAGTGGTTCAAACCCACCCAATGCCACTGCAGAAGAAAAGCCCAGTGATCTGCTTCTGTAAAGATGACAGCCAAGAAAACTCTGTGGAATAGTTCTACTATGTAACATGTGGGGTCACCATGAGTTGGAACTGACTTGGTAACAACACGTTCAGTTTTTTTTGGGGGGGAGGTGAGGGAAGGAGGGATGGAGACGTGTATTGGAAGATGCCACCTGTCTAGTCCTGTACACACACCATGACTACACCCTCAATCCATTGCTTCTTCCCTGAAGCCCTGCACTGAGGTAGACGTCTGGTCCACAGTAGGCACCCATGAAACAAGCAGGTTCAAAGAACGACAAGCAGCAAAGTCTATATGATGCTGTTCCATGTAGGAAGCACCATAGCATCCACCATGCACATCACTGGAGAAATGATCTGTCCCTGAGGAGGCAGTGGAAGCTGAGCCAAGCAGCTGAGAACTGATTCCAGAAGCCACAGGGCCAAGTTCACACCACAAATGATCGATGGAACATATGGGAAGAGATAGGCTTTGGCAAAATGTCACCTTGGCAGAAAACGAACAGGCACTCAATCTCTGATCTGTAAAGAAAACCCAGAGGAATGGGTGGTGCCAACACAGGATGGTCTGGGCATTGAGCTGTGTTTCAGGGCTTAGCAGCCCATAGCTCACTCTACTCCAAACCTTCTCATCTCCTGGTGCAGACAGGGGTCCATGAAAGAAAGCAGCCTTGCTCCATCAGTGGAGCCCTGAGACAGCATTCTGTTCCATACTTCCACTGGGTTTTATAAACACACCTCATTTAATTAGCAATTTTATGAGGCCTAAGGATTACAAGGTCATAACTGTAAGGTCACGCTCAGTTAAACTTTCCTAGAAGGTGACCTGGGTAGTCCAACTGGTCAAGCCTACTAGCCAAAAAGTTTGAACCTACCCAGAGGCCCCTTGGAAAAAATGCCTAGTGATCTACTTCTGAAAAGTTAGTCTTGAAAACCCTTTGGGGCAGTTCTGATCTGCAGATGTGAGATGCCATGGGTCAGGACTGACTTGATGTCAACTAACAACAGAAGACAGAGGTCTGCAGCTGGCTACAGATGCAATGAGCAGAAGACTCGGGCAGGAGGGAGGGATCTTGGGTTCAACACCCACCTCCACCTCCCTGTGTGATCGTGATCAGGATCAAGTTTCTTCCTCTCTCTGGGCCTTACCTCTTTGTCTGTAAATGGAGGAAGGCAGCCTCCCTAGAGCCTTCAAGTGCTTGATTGGGTTGCCTGGTCAAGAATTAAAAACCTCATTCCGGAACTGAACTCCCAAGTGCTCTAGATCAGCAGGAAGTTTTTGAGGCTGCACAACTGAGGTCTGGGTTGAGATCAAGCCACAAGCTGACAGGAGTGAAGGCTACTTCCTGGTTGGGGGTGGCGTGGTGAGGGTGAGGAGAGGAATAGGGACGGGGGCGAGGGTCATCCCAAAGTACACCTTAAGCACAGCCAACACCCATCTATCAGTGGAAGCTTGAATGTTGATTTGATGCTGAACAGGTTTCACCAGAGCTTCTAGATGTGGGCTAGGAAGAAAGGCCTGGCGAACAACTTCTGAAAATTAGCCAATGAAAACCCTATGGATCCTGACGGTTCAATCCGCAACCAATCATGAGAATGGTGCTGGCAGCGTTTTGTTCTGATATGCATGGGGTCACCACTGAGTTGGGAGCCAACTTAATGGCACCTAACACAACAACCTGTATTTGGCGATTATTCCCCACTTTCCTGCTCCCAACCAAAACTACTCTCTTTGATGCATGTTTTTCCCAAGATGAACATTTTCATGTGGGCAATGGCTGTTTTTGTGGTGCGGAGAGAAGTTGAGATACAACAGGCCACTTCTGTCCAACCACCACGTGGGCTGGCTCTGTGGGAAAGGCTGTTCTGCAAAGTGACAACCTGGGTCCTGGGCTTAATGATAGGGAAGTCAGGGTTGTCTGTGGCAGCAGCTGATTTCAGTTTCTCAAGAAGGCTTTTATCTGGCATTTCTTCAGGGATGACAAGCCCCAGGGCAGGCAACTGTCACTGGCCATTGCTGTCACCCTCCAGGCGGATGAAAGGCAGGAAAGGCAAGCCCTCTGATTTCCAGTCATCATTCCTTCTAGAGGAAAATTCACCCAAGGAAGAAACAGGGTCAATTTCTGAAGTCTCCAAGGTTAGGAGCTGCAGTGGTGGCAGCTGGGCTCCTGTCTGTCCTGCAGGTGTGTGCGGGCATCTCTTGGGTGGCTGACCTGCCCGTTTTGGAGGCCAAATCCCATCCTTGCCACCTGCACACTGTGCGATCTTGGACAAGTCCACCCAACCCTTGAGCCTCAAATTCCTCATTTGGGAGACAACAGTACCTGACCCAGAGGCCAGACGAGAAGGTGAAGACGCGCATAAAGCGCCTGGCACAGAGTAAATGCTCAACGAAGTCAACTGACACGGTGCTTTCCCCAAGGCTAACTTTATGCCTCAGCTTCCACTTCTGTAAGACGGGGAGCCCCCCCCCCCCGCAAAGAGCCGCTTCGAAGATGCTGCAAGGACAACACGATGACGGGCGCGAAGACACTAGCCCAGGGAACACACTCCCCGACGAATGGTGGGCTGAGGGTCGGAATCTGTCCTTCCATCTGCTAAATGGGCACTTGGTTCCCCCTCACTGTTCTCACGACCCGGGAACCCACGAATAGTGATGAAGGTGGCTGCTTGTTGTCTCTAGGGTTGCCTCGACCCTCTGAGACCCCCACGGCCCAGCCCCTTCTTCAGCTCAGGCCCCTCAGGGGAGCGCTCGGCCCCGGCCTCCCGCGTCCCTGGCCACCCCCAGGCACGCTACCTATGGTAGAGATGAAGGTGGAGTTGAAGGCGTCCTCGGAGAAGCGGAACAGGACACAGGTCTTCCCCACCCCCGAGTCCCCGATCAGCAGCAGCTTGAACAGGTAGTCGTAGGTCTTCGCCATATTACACTCTCTCCCCGACGGGAAGTGCGGCCAGCGCCTCGCCACTGGACGCCCGCTCCGTCCATCAGCGCCGACCCCACCCCCCCATTGGCTGCCCGCCCTCTGCACGTCACCGCGGCCGACGCCCGCCCCTGTGCCCCGCCCAGCGCGCAGAGACTAGGGAAGGGGCGAGCGGGTCGCTAGGCCGGAAGCGGCATGAGCGCGTCGCCCGTTGGCTTGTGCTCGGGACAGGGCGGGCTGCGATTGGCTGGAGGCGCGGAGTTGAGGGGCTTCAAAAGGGGAACGGGGCGGGGGCGTGGCATACCATGGGCCTGCTTCTTCCCGACTCTGGGGCAGCGCTGTGTCGCCCCTTTTGGGACCGGGAGGGCGGGAAGCGTCACCAACGGCCCCGCGCGCCCGCAGCTCGAGGGCGGGGGGGGGGGGTCTGTGTCGCGTGCGCATGCGCTCCGAGGAGACAGTTAGGCACCAGCAGAGGGCGCAAGCACGCGAGGGTTCCGGGTCCCTCCCTGACGGCCAGCGCAGCCTCAGTAGGTCATCGGGCTAGCGCGGGAAGGAACGGTTGGCGGGAACGTCGTCTGGGGAAAACGGGAAAGCGGTGCTTATCGCATTTGGAAAGAGGCCCCTGAGATCTCAGTACAGGACACGGAGCCTATTTTAGACATCACAGCCTCCGCCACTTCAGTGATCTCACCGCCACAAGCTGCGCCCTGAGGCTCCTCATGACTAGCCCTTGGACTTAATTGATCTAATTAGGGGTTGTCCCAGCCACTCTCTTCCTACAGGTTTCAGCCTAGACTCAGGCGTCTGCGCCCAATCTATCCTCAAAAGCGCGCTGGGGGTGGGGGGTGGGGGTGGGAGCAGAGGGGTCTAGGGCCTGGCAGTTACGGCATGTACCCTGGGCATCACTTGATGGCCGCTAATCAGTTTCTATTAGCCGTAGCAGTTTCCATCGCCGGCTGTGAGAGATCATTCAGCAACTAAAAACTAATTATGGGCACTATGTTCCGTTGATACCTCTCTGGGTGGGGATGGGGATGTAAGTGTCTAAGGATGTCTCAGGACCCTCTGAGCATCGTTTTTGTGCCGAGCAATTTAACGACATTTTATGGTGTGGGGTTAACAGGCGGGCGAGGTTTAAATAACTTTCCCAAGCCTCAAAAGTGGGAAGTTGGTTTTTGAACACAGACCTGCAAGCCTCATGGGCCAACCTCTTTTTGTTTTCATTTTTAAAATAATTTTATTGTGAAAATATAAGTAACAAAACACACTATCTCAACAATTTCTATGGTGTAATTCACTGACATTGACTACACTTTCTGAATTGTGTGACCATTTTTTCCAAGACACCAAGGTCTGAAACGATTGAATGCTTCAACTACTAGCGGTTCCAGCCCACCCAGCGGCAGTGGGAAGATAGGCCTGGTAATCTGCTTTCAAGAGGTCATGGCCTTGGAAACCCTATGGCACAGTTAACTGTGTGAACATGGGATCACCCACTGTGAGTTGGAATCGATGGCATCTAACAAGCTCTTGATTGCTAGGGCTTTCTGATTCTCAGAGATGAATGAACTCAACAGCTTGCTTGACTTCAGGGCCTCACCAGAGCTGGTGTATGCAGAGAAGCTGGAAGACTTGCCTAAGGATCTTCCATATGTCCCCTGGCCTCCCCTATTCACTTGCACCTCAGCTCATCCCTCTGTTAATTAGCTGAGGTCAAGAAACTTTATAGGCCTTACCCTCTGTGGTATTTTGATGCTATTCATCACCTAAGCTCTGGAAATTCTCTTTTCCTTGACATGCGCCCCACATTCTCTGTTTCTTCTCCTACCACCTACCTCCCCTTTCCCAAATACTGCTTCTCAGATTCCATTGCAGTCTGTTTTGGAGGTCTCTGCTTGACCCTGAGTGGTGTAAATGGTGAACACACTTGGCTACAAACTGAAAGGTTTCAAGTCCACCCAGAAGTGCCTCAGAAGAAAGGCCTGGAGACCTATTTCCAAAAAACCAGCCATTGAAAACTCTGTGGAGCATAGTTCTGCTTTGACACTCATGGATTGTCATGAGTAAGAATTGACAAAACAGCAACTAGCAACTTCTTGTTCTTTCAGTGTTGGTGTTCCACATGATGCTTTCTGTCTTAAGTACTCTGTTCTCATTTATATTATCTCCATACTGATTCTCAGTTCTTTATCTGTAGCCCAGCCATACTTGTATGTCCAACTGTTTTCTGAACATCTACCTCTGGGTTTGTCCACAACCCATACACAGCATGTCCATGACTGAGTTCATCTTCCACTTAGGTGAGGTCAGTGACGGTTCAGTGGTAGAAGTCTCACTTTCCATGTGATAGACCCAAGTTTTATGCCTGACCAATCCCTCTCATGCACAACGACCACCCTTTGTCGGTGCAGGTTCACATATTGTTATGATACTATAGTCATTTCAGAAGGGACCATTCCCTGGAGAAGAATCTCATGCTTGGTAAAGTCGAGGGTCAGTGAAAAAGGGGAAAATCCTCAACGAGATGGACTGACACAGTGGCTACAATGATGGGCTCAAGCATAACAAGGATTGTGAGGATGGCGCAGGACTGGGCAGTGTTTCATTCTGTTGTCCACGGGGTCACTGAGTTGGAGATGACTTGATGGCACCTACCAATGACAACGTGATGCTGAACAGGTTTTATTGGAGATTCCAAACTAAGATGGAGTAGGAAGGCCTGGTGATCTACTCCCAAAAACCAGCCCATGAAAATCTTATGGATCACAGTCTGATCTATAATGGACCATGGGGATGGCATAGGACTGGACAATGTTTCATTCCTTTGTGCTTGGGGTTGCCATGAGTCAAGTCAACTTGATGGTAGCCATCTACTTCCAGTCAGACATGCATGTTTTGAATTCCCTTCTAAGTGAAATCTCTTTGACATCTTTCTTTTTCATCTCTTCCATCTTGGAAATTCTAAACAGTCTTGAATCTTGCTTCTCCATTTCCATTGCCACAGTCAGGTCCTCCCATTTCTCTACTGGTTTTCCTGCTCATTCTCTCTAGTCCAGCCTCCACCCTGCAGTGTTCACTATAAAACACTAAGCATATCCATTCCTTGCTTATCATCCTTCAGCAAGCCCTTAGCAGCACAGAGTCCCAAATCATTAACCTAGTGTACATGCCTCACAATCTGATCCTCACCTCACCCTGTTTCACTCATACCTCATGGAACTGGGAACACCCAAAGAGCTTAGACAGGTTAAGTAAGTGTAGATCACTTATGCCAAGTGCTGTGAGGCACAAGGATGACCAAAACGGTGTCCTGAGATTACAGGGTAATGGGGTGACAAGGAGAGAACAGATGCATAAGGGGTAACTTCAGTCTAGTAACAGTAGGACACTTGGAGGAGGGGATCATACTTTATTTGATATTCCTAGAACCTAAATAGGCTGTGGACCAACCAAGACCCACTGCTGTCAAGTAGATTCCAACTCACAGCAACCCCAGGACTGAAACTGAGCTGCATAGGTTTTTTTTTTTTTTTTTTGGTTGTAACTTTTACAAAAGCAGATCAGCAGGCCTTTCTTCCACAGCACTGCTGAGTGAGTTCGAACTACCCACCTTTTGCTTAGCAGCTGAGCACAAACCATTTGTGCCAAGGCAATGGGCATTATTGGATAAATGTCAAATTAATATGAAGGAAATGTTTTACATTGTACTTGGCTAACAGAAATCTATTTGCATATACATTTAATTTTTTAGTTTCACTTATTTTTTTATTTTAAGAGCTTGTTTTACATTCAATGTTATGTGTACATTTAGTTTCACTACCCATTTACCATGTCCAACACTAACCCAGTCTCCTCCCTTCCCTACCCTGTAACCCTCCCCCTGTGCCCCTCATATTTATGCACTCCTGTTTGTCCTGCATTTCCTCAATTTGAATGTTGGTCCTCTGGTGCCCCATGGTCTACTGATCTAAAGAATGTATTACCATAGAGTATGTGGGTGCGTCATCCTGGGTTGAGTAGTCTGCATGTACATCTTGTTAATTATTGGGCTGAGAGCCAGCCCCTGGGGCTGCGCTTTGTTCCAGGTGTAGAATGTATTCCAGGGCCATAGTATTGGGGGGTCTCATCAGATTTCATCTGACCAGTAATTCTGGTCATTATTGAGTTTTTGGATTTTGTTCCACATTTTTCCTCCCACTCTATCCAGGATCTCCAGATTTGATCCTTTCCTGAGTGGTTAGCATTGTTAGCTGGGCACCATCTAGTTCTTCTGGTCTCAAGGGCCATCAAATAAACCCTTCACCAAAGAAGATATACAGGCAGCCAACAAACACGAGAAATTGCTTGCGATCATTAATCATTGGTTGTTGTTTGCCGTTGAGTCGGCCCCAACTCATAGCAACCCCTCCTTGGGTTGCCGAGGGAGTATCACTATGGACTGCCCAACCTTGTAAATCAAAACAACAATGAGATATCATCTCACCCCAGCAATAATAGCCAAGTTCAACAGGTCAGAAAATAACAAATGCTGGAGAGGTTGCCCATGGATTGGAACTCTTGTGCACTGTTGGTGGGACTGTAAAATGGTACAACCATTGTGGCAAACGGTATGGTGTTTCCTTAAAACACTGAAAACAGAAGTACCATTTGACCCAGCAATTGCATTACTAGGAATGTATCCTAAAGAGGTGAGAGATACAGACCCTCTTCAACAAAGAAAAGAAAAACCAATTGACAGAGATACAGAAGATAACCTGGAACCTTGAGTTTTGAAAGGAACTATATGGAAGTGGATTAGGCACTAACTAGTGGAAAAACCTGAATGAAAACAGTGAGTACAGAGACAGTCGGAGCTGTGGACTGTCAGCTACTCTGACAAGACCAACAGCCTGAATATTTCCAAGTGGTGTTGGGACCTGAGAATTGACCTAAAGATCAGTCCCGGTCACCAGGGGCTGCAAGGACAACTGTTCTGGTGGTCTATGACTAGGAAGGG